AACCCCGCTGACGGGTGATTGCTGTGGCAAAAAGATCGATAGAAATAGCTGAGAGACGTGCGAAACAAAGGACCCGCATGGTGTGGTGGTGAACGCGTTACTCCCCGGAAAGGATAATAGCGCGTTCGTTCCCCACCATAGACACCTGCGGTCCAGAGTTTTGCAAATATCTCAGCAACGTTGTGGTTGTGTACCAGTCGTCAATTGCAAGACGAACAATGAGGGAAAATCGAGGAAACAGACGATGGCAAACCCAAAACCAACTTCGATAATCGCTATAGGAAAAGCACAACTACGTTAGCACTCATTAAGTTGAGGATCGTTCGTTGTCAGAGTGAGTGTTCTGCTTATTATACCTATGAGGTACTTGGTCGATGATATTACGACATGACAACTCGTACGCGGACGACAATTAGGGAACGTAAACAAGGTGATTGGACGAGATATGGCGAACATAAAAATACGAGAAAACCCTTTCTGCAAATCGCTAAGCCATAACTTCATACTTTTACCGAAAAAAGCCCAATTTGTAGAAATAAATCCATCGAAAGAATACAGAATTCAATGATATCATCCGTATGACGATTTCAATGTATTCAGGCGACACACGTAAATGGTTGCAATTTTTTTCTCAACAGTAAACAAAAGTGAGGAGGAAATGGCAAATATAGTGGAGTGTAAAATATAAGAATAAGTTTAAAAGAACAAGAAAAAAAGACACTTTTGGATTTGCGAAAGTAAGAGCTTCGAATAGATTCTTCATTGGTATAATCAGCTTGGAACACTAAGATTTCCATACTTAAAGACCGTTATCGTCATCGAGCACGTCGTCCTTTTCCCTTGCGACGAGTGCATAAGATATTTGAAGCCGCCAAGAACCGAGTCACTCATCGATGGATTTGATGACACACGACGCTTGGCTGGCTAATGACCTTTCCTCTGTAGCCAACATTATGCGTTATAGTAATCAATTTCAACTAATCAATAAGCGAAAGTCGATTAAGCTTGGATAGAACTCCATTACAGGATGCATAGAGAAAGCCCCTTTTGTAAGACCTGCGGCCACGAATTTATATATTTCTCTTAAAAAAGCCATAAAAACATGACATCATTCCTTATTTAGTTGCGAATCGCCATTTGTAGTAACTATATATACAGATAAAAATTTGCCAACTACCACAAGCACCCGTCCCCATTCAGATATTTTGGCATCAAGATGTTCTGTTCTAGCCAGATGTAAAGGCTTCTGCACTTCTTCCATTGTTTCCTTGTCTTTCAACGATAACTCATAGAAGTGAACAGGTCCACAAATAAATCCTGTTGCATCACGACGATATACAGTCTTCTGTACTTACGGAAACGCCTACAGTGTTGGTCAATTGTTGCCTTTCTTGAAATCTTGAAATAGTGGAGTTACAGAGTTCCTAGATCGCCGTCGTACGTAGTCATCAATATTCGTGGGCAGTAGGGACATTTGCTATCTTCTACGGTGACTTCCCCACAATGCTTGCGACCTACCGATACAAAACGACATAGTAGACCGAATCTTCATCCTCATTAATGAGTTAAAATCTTCAAGATACGATTTTTCCCCTAGACACTAACCCTTCACGACACAACTCACCACTCGTTCGAGCTGAAGACGATGCGCAGTGGCGGCTTTCGCTCGACGCAATTCTTCACTTCGTCGAATCTCCTCGGCAGTTGGTGGTGGTGCCGACTAAAAACGCTCAACATCAATCATTTCCATTCTTTTCCTCTCATTCTTTTTCAGTTATGTTTTCCCATCCAGGAAATAGTAATTTGGTTGATGGTGCAACCAAAATGATGATCTCTACTGTACTGTTACCACATACCAAAGTGACATACTCTATTCTATTGAGTTAAACAAGTAATTAGACCTAGAATATGTGAACACCATAAGATTTTCAAGTCTTCATTTAAGTTACATTTAGATCAACGAAACATCAAAGCTCCCAGAGTACTGCTAGGGAGAATTCACCGATATGAAGCACTGATAAAACTATTAGATTCTCACACCAGCTCAACAAGAGCAGTTCGTAAGAACATTATACTTACTTACTTACTTGATACTCGAATGGCGCGTCCTCACTAATTGTGCGAGCCCCAGCATAATCTCCAATTTTCGGAGATGTTGCCATTGTGGTTTCCTCGAATCCCGAGGTCAGCCTAGGCAAAATCTGCCCCACGTCTTCACCAACAAAGACCTTCGCCGGCCTTTGTGGATCACAGGGACATTTGCCACTATGTGACTTTAATACCAGGACAGTGATCGATCCTGGTACTAGTTTACTCTTAGCTAGGCTTCTTGATGGAAACGCCGGAATCCTTCTTAGCTTGCGAGACCCTGCCGAAGGTACAAATCTCCCCGCTGTACCTCGCGGTCCGACACCCAGGAACAACCCCCAGCCACGATGAGGCGGTAAACCGTTGGGAGGAAGGACATTATAGATATATATAGATATATATATATACATATATATGTATATATATATTAGATTATCAATCTGTCTCTTTCCAGAGTCCTCTTATTCCAGTGATTTTAGTGATTTTTCTGGAAAAAAACTGACTTCAAAGGGAAACAAGCACAGTTTTACAACGTTTACAGCATTTTGCCATCAAACGAGCCATCAGTGCATTCACCAGTTTTCTCCAACTTTGGAACTACTAAACAAGTGGATCTACCGTATAGTGACCAGAATCATCTAGTAACTGGAAAACTAAGTAAGTTGTGAGGATATGATAAGTACTTCGGTGATGAAAATCATTACAACTTTAAAAAAACAGCTGACCTGTGAAAAAATGAACCGAAAGGGATCGAATCTCATACCTTCTGCGATGCGAACGACAACTGATCGATGTCCCGCAGTTCAGGATTAGCGATTAGTTCCGGAGAGCTACGACTAGATGGTACATCTGAAAGCAGCATACAGTGAATACTAGGCCATAAATGAATAAAGTGGAAAGAAATCTTTAATTTAAATACCAAGTTTTCGGGCTGTAAAAAAAGAAGTGCTATAAAACATTTTTAGATAATGAAAAAACTACGACTAAGTATAGGGGAAAATTAATGTTCAACTAGTACCACACATATTGAACATTTAGGACAGTGGTTAGTGATGTATGAAGTACAAAGGATAAAGCATTCGCCTCTGTTCATTCACAAAGGAATGCGTCATGTGATTTGTTTCACTCGCAGGACTATGGAGATAACTGACTGCATATCCGGCCTATAAAACGACTTATGGGTGTTGCCGATCTAATAAGTATCGATCATTTTATTTTACTAAATGGATCCGGCACAAATTTTCCAATTCCAAAGAGGTGTGAGGCTTTTTCAGCGTCGGACGTAAAATCGAACCAAAGACCACATGTGTGTTGCAGCAGAGGATCTCTAACCAGTGCGCTGCAAATACCCATTGGTTGGCAGGATGATAGGTTAAAATTGGGAAAATTAACGGAAATCTTATAATTCTTATCTACTGCTCAATATTTTTTCCCGTTAAGTTAAAAACACTTGCTAAGAGAAAAGCAGAACGAGAGCCTCAACAGTGCCGTGCGTAACACGTGGGAAGGAATTATTACCCTTTCTGGAGGCTAACGCATTTACCACCACACCATGGGCGTCTTTCGTTTCGCCTTTCTCTCACCCGTGTTTTATAGGTACTATCAGCAATCACCAGTCGACGGGATTGATCTGAGGAGCATAAATCAGCGTTGAATCCAATTAAGCTGAAGCTGTAGTATACATCTGCATTTATGAGGAACACGTTAGCTGCTGGGAAAGGGTGATAGCGTGTTCGATCCCCACCGCAAACATCTGCGGTGCAGAGCTTTGCAAATATTTGCCATGAAAAAAGAATAGGTTGTATTTAACAACAATCTCGGTTTTTTTTCCTAGAGGCACCCTGAGATTTAGTGTGTAAACTAATTGTCGCTGCAGTGAGGGAGTTACTAATACCCAACAAAAAACTTTTGTGCCTTTGATGGCATCTTTTCATAATCTTCTTAAGTAAAGTCAGCTCTCCGACGACTTCCAGTGGCTTAGCTCTACGAGAAATCTATTTTCTATGACCATATTGAGTTCGCCAATCAAGTTTTTCGATAAAATTTATCACAAAAAAACGGACTGCTTCAAATTCGAACCACTTTTTTCTCATGAAGTACGTCCACTCTTTGAAACACGCACATCACTGGAAAATGAAACGAGCCTCATAATATTTCAACATAACTCGAATACTCAAGAGATTGGCAAGATGGGAACAGATAAATGGTTTCCGTCAAGTCTCTAAAGCCTCACTGTTATGAAATATCTCCAATTCTGACGGCTTGGAATGAAAAAATTTATGGTTATGTGGATCTCATAGCTCAGATGAATAGCACAAATGCGAAATCCGAATGACCAAAACGGATAGCACAAAGGATAGCCCTTCCATTCGCTTTTCCAGTATGATTATGAGAATGAACGCTGGGAGATCAACTTACAACCCCAAATGGTGTTCCTTTCAAACAGCTGATGAAACCCAAAATATTCAGACACGGGCATAATTTTATCTTTTTTGCTTTGTGATTTCACACAAGTATTACTATACTATTCTTTTCCTTTAGATGGATGCCAGAGAATTTCTATTTGTTATCTATATTTGTTAATTAACTTGACATCACACGAAGAAATATTGATCGATGTAGATCATAGCGCTTTATTTCTACTGATGTGCGAAAAATGCAACAGTTTTTGAATATGGGAGCTGTTTCCTGCACTTTCTGACTAAATTTTCTGACTGGAGACTTTCAACGACCAAACTCAATGTTATTTAGTGAAATCTGCTTAAGCAGTAACGAAATAATCCAGTAAAACTTTGTCATAGTACCTTTTTTGTTTCGGAAAGAAAAAAAAGACTGCAATATTTTAATAAAATAACAGTTATCGAGTACTCGCTACTTTTCATTAAACCGAATTACACTTTTTACACTAAGCTGTTCTGTTTTCAAGGACGACCAGGGCAGTGCATTAGAGCGCCACTTGTCATTAACAAGTCGCTGGTTGGTTATTCCCACTGTTATAAGCGTGGGAAACCTTGCGTCCCTGTGGGAACGATTGAGTTACTACTATATCATCTTCTTTCATCGTTCACTAAATGATTTACGAAAAATCAATACGCAAGAGATTTTATCAGAAATACCTTGTTAAAGTAAAGTACCAGAGATGAGTCTTAGGCATAAGATTCAATGCAAAGAAAACTGTTCAAATGGACGGAAAATATAGCATAAGATATAACCTAAAAATACTCTGGTAAAGAAAGTATCCATAAAACATGTCCAATTGCTGAGAGTCAGATAAAATCAATAAGAATGTAAAAGTTTGCTCTCTAAAATATTCTAAAGAACAATTTTTTTTGAGAATGACGAAATCTTCTCATCGGCCAAAAATAGAGCAAATTTTTAAATGGTTCGGCCGGTTTACGTGTTTAATCACTTTGTCAGAAATTGAGTTACCCATGGATAAAACCTGATTACCACCCGTTTCCAATATGGCCTGGCGTCAGGTTGGCTGGCCCCTTTAAAGTAAACACCTCCACTCGCTTGACTTGCTCTTCTCTCTGTTTTCTAGAATTCCCAAAGCGCCACAAAATGCACGACAAACGAATACAATGAAGATACGATGTCGGTTACGATTATTTTGCTAGAATAAAAACTCTAGAAAGCACAAAAGAATGATCTAGGACGGGAACGAACCGCACAGGATGTTCCTTAGGAATGTGTCGCAGCGGTCCGACTACATGGTAGAGTCGTAGAAGTGAATGAATGCAGAGTTTGTCTATAAGACGACTTTCGATGACGTACCAATGCATTAAGTCAACGTTTTATCCTTTGAAACGAATCCGTTACCAGTTTGTCGACCCCGCAGTGATCCTGGGCTTGTTTTGCTCAGGGGGCAAGATCAAAACAGAGCAGGTGCGTACTGTAGGCAATTCTAATCACTGCACTACACCCGACCTAGACAATCAATAGTAACAAGAGCTCCTCATAACTTATTTATAGGTATATCCTGCCGTAAGGATAAATCTAACATTGTGTTTCCGTGTTGTAATTCCACTCTATACCTCCTCCTAGTGAAATGAGTACTTTCTATTGAAACAGACAGATTTCCTTCATGAGAATTCTTTAACAGCATTCAAATTTTCCGTGGCATGCCGTATAAGGCCTTTTCCTAAAATTCTAAGCATCAAATACAAATAGTTGAAAGTGTAAAATGATCTGAAAATTTCGAACGATTCGATTCTTTCTCTGCTCGAAAATTATGCCAATACTACTGAATCACACAATTTTAACTTATTCCGACAATATTAGAACAAAATAAACTCTGTTTTCAAGCTAGAAACGAAAATATAGCCGGGCTACTTTTAGCAACGATAATTGCGCTGCTTCCATCCCAACCCAGGATAACGATGCTTTCCATTCCTCCGATGTCGGCAAATTGCTACCTGACTGGGAAGAGCTTAAAACCTCTCCATAAAAACGTTTTTGTGAACATAATGTATACAATTAAACCAATAAATTGACAAATGGATGGATTTGTTGTCAGTCGAATAGATGGGCACCGGTACAATCCGAGGCAAGCTGTTGTAGTGACGACCGGCGGTAGAGTCAGCACCACCACGTTGAGAACTATGGAAATCGATCTGAATGGGTCGGAAGAAAGGTTAATGAGATTTCCGATATAGTAACGAGTCATTCATTACATTTCTACACTTCGTTAATATATTTTGTCTATCTCTAACTGCCTTGGTGTGATTGCAGCGTCCTCGGCTTACACCAATGGTATGAAGTTCACCTATCTCCTACGTTACTACAGAAAAAAGCATTAGCGAAAATAAAAAATAAACTTAACTCTTTCTTATTGACAACTTGTCAAGTGAATCAATTTGTCGAATAAAGGCGATAGAATACATGAATGGATTCACTCCGACTAGGTCTGAGACAGAACGACAACGCAGCGAATAAAAAGTATTCAAGTATAAGAGGATTTAAGGCAGATTAGCTTTTAGGTTACAGAAAAGAGGACAAAAAGCATGGCCTTGATGATCGAGCAATAATCTCTTTCCCCTCTACGATTGCTTTCTTTATGAACAAAACTGAGTTCTGGAAACATCCATTAGTTTCTTGCTTCTTATCATCTTATCCCTCTATATACAACAGTAGAAGCCATTCTAATATTGCTAAACGAGAAACAGACTACAAAATTTATTATCGCATGGCTAGCTGTACATAAATGAGTCGGAAAAAACGTGTATTTTATAGCAATCGATCGTTGTCAGTCAAAACCCCGCAATCAATCCAAATGTGCAGTTGAAAGTACAAACGTGATCGTACCGTTGGACGAAAGAACGGTAGGTCAAACAAACTTATTTCCACTTCTGAGTCCTATTGCTAATCGCCAAATGATAGCAGATAAAACGTTCGGTGTTCATCAAACCCTTAAAGATACGCCATGCATTCGATTCTATTCATAGTGCTGCACAGGCAATTGAGCGCATATCTTTCCTGCTCTTAAAGTGGCCTTGCGACATATCCAAACCACTGCTTTTACCTTTACAGACAAACCTGATACCCAAATGCTGGTGCCGGATGGATAGAGCGCGCAGTTTTCCCTGCCCTGGGTTCGAACCAATGATCCCGTGTGTATTGCAGAGCATGTCTAAGCATTACGTTACATGTGCGTTAATCAACAAATACTGCAATACTCAGACGATTCTCATTAATGAACGGCCCAGCATCGTCTATCAAAGTGCACCGAAGCGTTTATAACGTTAAATAACGCGTCGAGGTCGTGATGACGCCAACGGCATCAGCTTTACGTCTAATTGGATGCACATGTTCGACGTTATCGTCCATCATTCACATTCATCTGCAGATTGTGCATCGATT